TGCGCGGGTGCGGCGGCCCAAACTCCGCCTGACGGAGCCTCGCTGTCTCTGCTCAGCCACCTACGCTGCCGCCGTGCTCTTCCGCATCTCCGAGGACAAGAACCCTGACTACCGCAAGCGCGTGTCCGTGGAGCTGACCAACTCCCTCTTCAAGCACGACCCGGCGGCCTGGGAGGCGGTGAGTGTGTCTGGGCTGGGCTGTGGCGGGTGCGGCGGCCCAAACTCCGCCTGACGGAGCCTCGCTGTCTCTGCTCAGCCACCTACGCTGCCGCCGTGCTCTTCCGCATCTCCGAGGACAAGAACCCTGACTACCGCAAGCGCGTGTCCGTGGAGCTGACCAACTCCCTCTTCAAGCACGACCCGGCGGCCTGGGAGGCGGTGAGTGTGTCTGGGCTGGGCTGTGGCGGCGTAGGGTTGTGCAAGTTGTGCACTGCTCAGGCGCTCCACTTTTGGGGAGGCCCCAACCTACCATGCGGTGGTTGACAGATTTTCCTATGTGACTCCATCGCGTGTGACAATTCGCAGCAGGTGGAAGTAGTAGGGTTCAACTGACAATTCGCAGCAGGTGGAAGTAGTAGCGTTCAACTGTAGATCTGTTTTTTACCTGTAAAAGTAGCGCTTTCCTTTTGACCAAATGAATATACAGTAATAGGTTTGAGGTCGGGTGCCTGCTTTGCTTTGTTTTGCTTTGGAGTCAGGGTCCCTCTGTGCAGTTCAGGCTGGCCTGGAACTCACTGTGTAGCCCAGGCTGGCCTGGAACTCGTGGCGATCCTCCTGCCTCAGCTTCCTGAGTGCTGGGATCACAGACATGCGCCACCACGCCTGGCTCCTCCCCGGGTTTTTAAGCGCCCCTCCCCTCTGTCCTCTGTCCCGCAGGCCCAGAGCATGATCCCCATCAACGAACCCTATGCGGACGGTGAGTTTCGGCTTTTCGGGCCTGGGTCAGGCTCGGGAGCGTAGGCAGGCGGAGGGGACACCGCGCTCTGCGCCTGCGTGGGGGCGGAGGTGGGCGGTGCAGGGGCCTGAGGCTCAGCCCCTCCCCGCAGACCTGGACGCCACCTACCGCCCCATGTACCCTGGCGACGACCCCCTGGAGCACCTGGACGTGGACGGAGAGTACCCCCTGGACATGCCCTATGGCGACGGCCTGCGGCCCCCGTACCCCACCTCGGACCACATGCTGGCCTAGGCGCCCCGCTGTCCCGCGCTCTCCTCCCGGCTCTGCTGAACCCCGGCTCCAAGCCGGCTCCTTTCTGGGGTGCTGTGGGAGCCTCCGCGGGGG